GTCCAATACCCTGTTTCAACACGGTCCAAAACATTTCAACACATTCCAACACACTTTCAACACGTTTCAACACATTTCAACAAGGTTTCAACAACTTTTCAACAACTCTTCAACAAGATTTCAACCAGCTACCAACAATGGATCAACAGTTGGACCAACTGTCTGTCAACAGTTGATCCAACAGTTGAACACACAAGTTTCAGTGTCCCCAATATACGGTCAGTGTTGGTTTCCTTCAGTTTGTGTTGAACACATGCCCCCCCCCCCGGCCAACGGTTTATAAACAGTTGAAATGTGGTGTCAACATAGGTTCAACGTGGCAAAAAAATTGCCATATTTTTTCTGTTGACAGCGAAGTTCACCAGCAGCAACTGCAGGTCAATCGCATATTTCAGCAGCAGGTTCTCTGATCAACATCAACACCATGGTCGGTCTTTGTAATCGCAACAGTCCATCTTAGTGGCAACGACAGGGAGCGGCATCACTAGCCTTGAAGTGGCTGTCGTGGCCTGGAAAGGTCACCAGTAGCTCTGGATCATAGACAAAAGCCTCCCTGATATGGGAGACTCAGCAGCACCAGCCTTTTAGTCGTCCACACAACCACAAAATCTCAAGCATTGTGGCACTTCACAACAGACTCATATTCTAATACAACACTCGAATACGCAAATGCAGCACTATCAACCTTGCTGCTATACTTTAATACGCAAATGCAGCACTATCAACCTCCCAAGCAGCACGGTTATACAAAAACAAAGACACGACAGCTCTGGTGCCGAGAGAACGGCAACTCCAATAGAGGGAATGACAATCGTCTGCCACTATATCGGCAACTTCCTATTCTAGGTTGCAACAACAGCAGTTTCTCAACATTGATCTCCGGGGACATCAGCGGCTTCAAAACCAGGCAAGAGCAACATCTGGCAAGACAAAACTGCAGATACGAAGACAAACGGCGAGCTGCAGGTGGCAACCACAGAGAACAGTAATGGAGTCTCGAGGCCGACTAAGCGATTGCACTCCGTAAGTATGGTCAGCAACACTATGGTCTCTCCCCAAATATGCAAAATGAGAATGAAGGATTAGCCCGAACCTGGCCAGGTGCAATGCACCCTGGCACAAACCGCACGAGCAGCTTCAACAACTATGTGTACTTTCTCTCTCTCTCTCTCTCTCTCTCTCTCTCTCTCTCTCTCTCTCTCTCTCTCTCTCTCTCTCTCTCTCCACAACAACTTGCACCTCGCCAACAGGTAAGTCTCCAGCATCCCGACTGGCCTCACGGCAGCTCGACGCTACTCCAATGATAGGACGAGTAAAAACGGAATGAATCTTCGATTAGGATTTGGCTAGGTGCAGCGCACCTAGACACGAGAAAACGACTGCGAGTGCTACACCACGAAGCACGTAACCACGAGCGTTGGAAGGGTGGCCACCACGAAGAAGGTCATGTGCGAAGTGGAACTCAACCGCCAGCAAGACAAGCATGACGAAGAGGGGGACCGCGCAACTGGATGCATGAGCACTTCGAACGAGCACTTGGGTGATGACCACGTCAAGAAGAACTGGAAGACGATCACGGTTAGTCAGGCGAAGTCGAGCACGATCGAGACATTGCCTCACAATATGTGGGAATGAGAAATGTATCTTCCGCTGAAATTTTGGAAAATACATTCAATTTGCCACTCTCAAAAACTCCTGTAGAAACCTCGCAGCCCCTGTTGCTCAGCTCCCAAAAACTAATGCCTTACTACCAATTTTGACACCTCCATCGCACTCGCAATGGCCAGAAACCCTGGTTTAGCATCTTTCCTCGCCCAAATCCATCGAGAAACGGGCGAGCTACGCGACTTTCGATTTCACCATCACCTCTTTCCCGCTATCACCTCGCAAGCCCTTTCTACTCTATCTCTCTCTATACTAAACCTACACCAAAACTAACCTCGGATTTGAATTCTCCCTACCTCATAACCCTGAAAACGACCTTTACCTCGCCCTATTCCATCAAGGAATGAGCGAACTACACCGTCTTCTATCCTCTTCTTCCCTCTTCCCCGTAGCATCCGTCTTCTTCGTCATTTTCTTCCGCCTCGTCTGCTGCTAACGCACACGTTCTCACTTAACGCTGCTTGCCACTATGCAATCCCTCAACAGCTTGTCTTCGAAACAGCAGCGCCCTCATACCTTGCTGTCGGGCTCACCTCATATAGTATTCCTTGCAGCCTCCCGGCATAAGTCAGCGTGGGATGAATCTGATCAAACACGGCGCCAGGTTCATCCCTCTAGGCAAAGAGTTATAAAAACCAGAGCCATCTTCAGGGCGACAGCAGAAAAGAGAAAAAAAAAAAAAAATAATAATAATAATAATAAAAGAAGTTAATTAAAAACAGCAAGAATCGAGGATCACGATCCCCCACTACTCACAAGGATGAATTCACGCTTGCACTTCCCTACTTGCATTTTACCGTATTTATGTATTGATACGTATGTGAATGCTCCTGCCTGCAGTGGTGATTGCACTCACTGAGCCGAGCCACTTGGTTTTAGTACAGGTCTCGGATCTGTTGTCAGACCTGTAGCAGAAGTTGCCCCGCAAGGCTACAACTCAGGGAGCAACAAACCCCCGGATTTTCAATCACACGCACATGGCCCAAACGCACATGTCCGCCCCCGCAGCTGGGGTATTATTCCAATCTTAACAGATGTCCAGAAGGACTCAGACAGGGCGGCGACCCTGAAATATCATCCCTGGCAGACCGGTCCTTTTAATAACCCAGAGTTCATAGTATCTTACTCGTCCACTCTTAACGGAGTTCGGACTCAGGTCTGCATTTCAACAGTTCGGAGGTGTACCACTGGGCTAGGCTCTTGGCACTCACAGTCGGTCCACGGACCGGTACCGGGTCACGTCCCAAAATGGGACTTAAATAAGAAAAGAATAAAAATAAAAATAATAATTAATAAAAAAATTTAGAAAAATTAGGAAAAAATCGGAGTAGGGGGAGGGGAACCGTGGGGACTCGTCCCTCGGCCCCACCTTACGGGCCCGCGGTCGGAACTTCCCGCAAAACCAAGGGGGATAGTCCCTCGGGACACTCAACCCCTCGGTTAAACTCCGTAGCGCACCTCCGCTCCTCTGCTGCAGAGTGTCGGCCTTGATCCTTGGATCTTCAAGTTGAAAGTCTAATGTTGTAACCAATACGGCTAAGCCCAAGTCTGGTTACAGCAGGTGCGAAATTGCATATCAATAGCACGTGCAGGCCGCCCGGGCCTGCCAAATTGCACCAAGGCCGCTGCTTGGCTTACTACTCAAGCCCAAGCCCTGCAATGTCACGCTTTCGCTGCTTGGGGCCAGCTCTTTGCTCCACACATCGCACATGTAGCCCGCGACGCCGCGGCCAACAAGTAAGCTCCCTCACACTACCTTCTTCCTTGGAAAGGCCGCTCTTTTGCCGTCTCCAAGCCGGAAAAAAAAAACGGCCTTTACTCATGTCCACTCTGCTAAATCTCATTGGCAATTCCGACGTCGTCAACCTTTGTGCCCTGCACACCCCACGCGTGCCCGCAAAGTGCACACCCACACACACACCCTTTGACTCATCCAAGCGTGCCCCCGCCACTTCCTGACTTCCAAGAGTCAGTCGTGGTCGAGCCTAAGGCACGTCACTCTCTCAAATATCATCAAGGGTGCCCCTCTTGCGAGGTGCAAAAAACATGTACAATTACCCTTGTAAGCGTAATGGTGCCGACAGCGTGCTAACTCCCACCACTGCGATCGTCACCCCGCCGACGTGAACTCGAAGATCCCACAGTCCGTCGTGGCGATCAAGCGCACAACCGTCCAGTCTATCGTCAACCCGACAGGACTTTCCGACTCGCACCAAACACTCTGCCTAGCCACTGCTTCCCGGAAGTTGGCTTGAGAGTCGAGAACGTAAGAGAGCTTTGCGGGCGCGTTTGCGGAATTTATAGTGGCGAGGAGGGAGACAAGGGAGAGAGAAGGCAGGGGG